CTGCAAAACACAAGAACTTCTGAGGGCTTGCATTTCACGCTCGAGCGTACTTCAAGTCGCTTGAGCGGAAGTGCATGCACTCAGAATGGTCACTCAAGTGTGGGTTCCTACACTTGAGCGTAGATGCAAATTCTGGAATTTCCAGATTTGATCACCGAGCTCAGAACTCAAACTTAAAGCTTCAAAACTTGATTTTTCCTCAGCCAAGACTTGAGGCTAGCAAAAGAATTCTATATTTTGCACCATTGTCCTAACTCTTCTTCTTAATTATGTAATTATTTAGAATTAACTTAATTTACTAATTGCACATCAACTTAATTAATTAGGATTAGTTTGGCACACCAATTACGCTTTAATTTAATTAAACCACAATTAACCATACTTGATCGTGACCGATAAATTTCTACATAGCTCAATTAATCTAATTGACTTCAAATAAGTCTCAATCAATCATAACTAAATTCATCAATCTGAATCAGATTTTTAATCAATATCCCAAAAGGCTCCAATCATTAAATTGAACTTATTATCATCCTCAATTTTGTTTTCTTAAATCATCTAGGCCTTTAACTTCTGATTAGATCCCAAATTTCCGTTAATTAAATTACGTGTTCAAATTAGATACCCCATAAATAAATTTAATTTATAATAATTATAATTCTCAATCTTCATAATTTAATTAACTTGATTAACTCCAATTAGGATCTAATTAATCGAATCTCAATTTTACTAAACTGAAACAAATATTTAATTAAACTCCCAAATGGGTCCATAATTAAGATTAAATTGATTCAACTTCTTAACTTCACTTCCTTAAGCCATTTGGACCCTTAATTTCTAATTCCAAAATAAATCTTTAATAGAATCGTATACGAGTCAAATCCCACAATTCTCATAAATCCCAAATTAAATTATCATACTCGGCAATTGAATTTCAAATCCTCTTAATTAATCAATTACTAATCATTACACGTGACGGGGTCGTTACAGTTGGTCTATTGTCTGCAAAAGTTCTGGAGGTGTGTGTTCTACGCTCGAGCGGGCCTCTTCTTACGCTCAAACGGAACAAAAGTTTGTGTTTGATGCTCGAGCATCAAACTCTTCGCTCAAGCGGACAACGCGTATATCAAATCACGAAAAGAACTTTTTACATCACTTTTTCATATCTTTTCACCCAAAACCCTAAAGTTGAGACTTTCTCTCTCTAAAACTCATCTTTTCTCTACATTTTGACCTAGATCTTTTGATCTCTACACCCTTGTGCCTTCTTTAAAAAGGTAGAACTCCTCAAGCTCTTCACTTTGAACCGAGTAGAAGTTGGTTTTGTTACTTTTGAAGTTCCATCCTTGCTTGGCTCGTCTTCTTTCCTTGAGATAGGGACAGTCTACACCTTAATATGGTTTTTAACCTAGGTATTTGTTGTTTTGTATAAATGGTGGGATTTGGGAGGATTTGAGTAAAGTTAGGGTTTAAATTCAAAATTGAAAGAGGGGTTTTCCATGTTTTTACAAATGACTATGGGGCTTGTATATGAGATTTTCTAGTGTTAAAATGGTGAAATTTAGCTGTTGGGTTGATATTTGAAAAAAGGAAAAATTTGTCCTAATTTGAGTTGGATAACCAAATTGTATAAATAATGATGTTGATATAGGAAATGTGAAATTGGAAGGATATGTGAATGAATGGTGTAGTTGGATTTGTTAAATCACTCACCTATGGAAATTTGATAAATTATCTATTTAAAGACTGTGTATCTGTCCAGAAATATCTGTTTTGGGCTATTGGTGGAGGATAGCTATGATTGTTGTAGAAATTACATAAGCATTAGGTAAATTGAAACCTATCATTTAAATTGTGTCATTGAATATGACGGTATGATTGGGACATTGAATATGTGTTATGGATGGTCATTGTATATGACAATATTTTAATACATTGTATATGTATAGTTGTTTGAGAGAAGAAATGAGATGTACTCCACTATTTGGGAGGAGATAGAGGATGGACTCCATTTAAAATTAGGTTGGCCGAAGTGTCTACGGTGAAAGTCCCGAAATCTTGAATATATATATGGGTGCCGGTTCCCTCGAATGAGAGTTCCGTAAAATGGCAAAATAGAAGTGTTGGAGTGATGAATGTATTGAATTGTGAACCATTGAGTTGTAGTCTCATTTTGGTTGACTGGATAATAATGAACTTGGTTAATGGATTTACCATAAATGAATGAATGGAAATGGATTGAGATATGGTCACCTATATTGAATGGTCAAGGAAAGAATGTAAGTTAATCATGATTATGAAACATTTATTTGACATTTATATCTTAGTTAAACCTCATATGCTGTGTTAGTTTATCTCTACTGGGCTTTGGCTCATCCTACTCGGGAAAACATTTTCAGGTGCTGGTGACATGCCACCTCCAAGGACATAGCTTGGGAGGATTGAGGGCTGAAGGCTCCATTTTTGTTATGTTTATGCTTAAATGTTTATTCAAGCCAATGGCTTAACTTGTATAGAGCTTATGACTCTTTCTTTGGTTGTAACCAAGTGATATCTTGGAAAGATGTAAGCCCGTAGGACATTTATTTTGTTATCGTTAATTTGAACTACATGCTGTAGATTTAGAATGAATGTTTATGAATGTATAATGCATGTAATTCCCTTTTGTAATAGAAACTCTGATGAATGAAGTAGATCATTTTATTATGTTCATAGATCTTATGGAATGTATTGTTGTATTATATTTTGGGGGCGTTACAAAAGTTGTTCCCTACTTTCTACCACTTTGTAGGTAGTGAACATCTTCTTATCTGCACAGATATGGCGGGTTGCTCCAATATCTACCCACCATTCCTTGGGATTGCCCACCAAAGCTTCAG